CCTTATTTTTCTAGAGGAAATCCTGTGTTTTTTCGGGACTGGTTCAAACAATAGATTAAGAAGGTTTGGAATCATGAAATTATCGTTCAATCCATTGCTATTCTTTGGATTGTTTGGCGTTAGGGAAATAGTTATGTGTTTAAAGGCATGACTACGACAGAAGTACAAGCAAATCTTCTTGCTGAAGAGCTTACCTCTAATGCTACTTGAAGATCATCCCCATGTTTAGAGTAGGCTTTAATACCTTAACATCTACTATTGATGTTTGTAATAATGATGATATATGTATGCTCGCAAATTCTCTCTCTAATGTGACAAATTACTAGGTGTGGACTTTTGTCATAGATGGTTTGTGGCGGGAAGTTGATCAAAGTGTAGGCGTGGCATGTGTTTTGTCACACCCCAAACCCAGATATGATCGGTCGTGGCCCACAAGGCCTTAGTTCAAGGCATACGTAAGCCTAAACACGAATCCAATATCACATTGAACAATTAAACAATAGTCCAATAATAAATAACCAAAACTCAATCCAGTGACATGCCACAAGTGAAAAACAAGTCATAACCAACTTCCTAAAAATATATATATACTAAATGGTACACAAACCGCTCACAAAATAAAATAACTCTAAATAAAACCCAACCACAATGTATGCACAAAACTTGACAAAGCAACCTAAAACAAATTAAATAAATGCCCTAGAGGTCCATGTAATTGAGTCCCCGCTACGCCGTGAGTCCACTCTAAGTCCTTCTAACACCTGGAAATGGTAAACAACTAAGTCAGCTGATAGCTCAGTGAGTAGCAACATGGATAGTAAATACAGTTTTGAAAACAGGGTTCAATTCCAAAATAAGATATATATCACAGAAACTAGATTGGCATACAGTTTGGTAAATACAATCTGTTTCAAAAAGAAAGTTCCACAGTTCAACACTTAAAATACTCATGTCTCGCAAGAACATGATAAATGAAAATTTCCACTTAAAACAGATTATAACATGAACACCAATAATTTTCTGGGTACCAAGAAAAATAATTTATATGCTACACAGTTCTTAAGGCTAGAAGCCCCGTTGGATCCAATACCGAACTAAGAGTCATCCTCAAGGTGGCACTTGGGCCTTTTATCAAAGACGATCCGATTGAAGGTCACCTAGTTGTTTTTAAAGGTCTTTTCCTTACAATCGTTGAGCACTAGAGTCATCACGGCCTAACCCGGATTTGTTCCCTACTGGCCAGAGTCACCACACACTGTGGAATAATTTCCCTAGACTAAATACACACATGGTCCCAATAATCAATACACATCAGTTTCGCAAAACGTGGTGATTCATCATTATAAACATGATACCAAAACAAATAGTTTACAATATGCCAAGTTCACACATATTTCAGAAATAATTTGATTCCATTGATAATATAATAATTTATCAAAACAGTTTAGTCTTGAAACAATAATTTAATTTTCTAACAGTTCAAGGTAGGGGAACATTTATAAAAATACGTAGCATGAAACTACTCACCTTGAAACGAAATAATATAATCATCGAATAGAGTATGAAAGTCCAACTACTGCCTTGAACAAAGTATTAAAGTTACACGTCACTACTAATTCAAACATACTAAAAGGAATAATAAACTAAGTAACCCCAAACTAAAGCGCACTAACACAGCTCAACCCAACTCACCGTTACTCTTAAATATTACCTAAGTTCATGTTCTTCACGGTCTAAAATCACCCAAGACATAGGTTCCGATCGAAACTTAACTAAAAGTGACTTTAAGATAAAACAGAGTTTTTCCAATCTCTTCGCTAACTTTGAAAATTAAAAACCCACTCCACGTTGTTCAAAAAATTCTAAAACCTTCCAGATATCTACTAATATATCCTAAGTTTCAAACCCAATTGGTTTCACTTGATTTGCTTATCAAATTAATTATCTACAATTTATTATATCTAAACAGATTGTTTTCTGCAGCACTTTAAGAAAATTGGCAGTTCTCTTAGTATACACGAGCAATCAACGAAAGGCCAAAAAATGTACGAAACTAGACTCGTAACCGGTTCTAATGGCACTAATTTGATAATTTTCGGATTTATACCCAAAGAGAAAAACACTTCCAAAGTTACTGTTTCGGACTGGTTTCCTGGACAGATTTGAATACCTCAATTTATATGGATTTTGACTCCCAAAAATTATGAAAAAATTCAGATATGCAATTCAATATGTAATTAATCTACTGTAAAAATTTCAGATTAAAATTCATCCGTTTGATACGGTTTCTTGATTTTTAAAGTTTGTGATTCTGTGCAGAATTTTTGGACTAAGAATTACACCATTCTTTATATATGAATTTAACTCCTTAGATTTCTTAACAGTATACATATATACAAAATACATAAATCTACAACCTCTCCATTAATGAACTAAATAATAATAACGTAAGAATAAAGAACAAAAACAAAGAAAAGAAGAAAGATAAAGACCGACCACACCCAAAAATTACTCATTGTTTGCAATCCCCTTTTGTTTGTTCTTCTTTTCTCTCAAACTCTCTCTCTCCCCGTGGCTGCTGTTATAGTGTTGATTAGGAACCTTAGGGTTTTTCTTTTCTTTTCTTTGTTATACATAACATAAATGACTCTAGATAAATATCCTTGCTTTATTTTATTTTATTTTATCTCTCCATTAATTTAAATAAAATACAACTACTATTAGATCAAAATATGCTTACTAATTTTACACTTAATTTTATTTTATTTTATTTATTTATTTTTAAATAATAAATCTTGCCTTTAAAATGAAGACTTTCACCATAAATTTATTTTAGGTTTTAAAATTAATTAAAAAACCCTCCAAATATTTAATTTGCACTTCAGGATTCACCATCAAAATATTTGAGATTGTAATATTATTATTATTTAATTATTTACTTAATTTTTATATTCGGGTTCTCACATGTTTGCTTCAATATAGATCAATCACAGGTTCAAGATTATGCTTCTAGGCTGCAGCTTCCTTCTCCATTGTTGGCCGAAGTTAAAGCGTGCTGGTAAGCTATTCATTAGGCCAAAGGCCAGCCTCTGTTAAGCATCTCTATTTTCACGGACAGTCAAGTTTTGGTATCTACTTTGCAACGGCAAGGCATCCCTGATTGGAGCATTGCGGCTATTATTAATGATATTAAGCGAATTAATAGGCATTTTGATTTTCTTTGTATTTCTAAAGTTAATATGGACTCATGTACTATCTAGACAAGCTAAAGGCTACTCAAGCTAATATATATCTATTTCTTTGCTTCTCAAATATATATATATATATATAATCACCAAAAAGGCATGGTGTGCACATCAAAGTATGGGTTTCATGTTGGAGTCTTTAATATAGGGAGTGATATGTATGTGCAATATACATAAATTAGTTATGGAGGTTCCTACAAAATTGATTTGCTTCAAAAATCTTGATTAATTTTATGATTTTTGGAACAAATTTATTTTTTAATCAATTTTGGATTTTGTTTATTTAATTTTTATATTTCAAATTATAAGAAAATTGATATAATAATTAAAATGTGTTATGATTATTGTGATGGTTAGTGATGGTGGTTGGTTGGATTTTATTGTCTAAGCTAATGTTAACATAGTAAAATCTCAATTGGTTAAAATTTATACCGTTTTGGTTTTGAAAATAAAAACTTGTAAAAATGAAATTATGGCAAAAAAATAAAAAATAAAATAAAATAATTGGTCGAATGAAATAGTAACTCTGTCTCCTATAAAAAAGCAACAATACTACAAACTCACCCTTATCTACTTGGAATTTACTAAAAAAAGAAATCAATGGCTTAGATTCATTTCATATGTAGACCCCATACTTCATTAATTTAATTTCCACTACAGAAACACGTTCAAGGTAAATTCAGGATTTGTAAGGGTGGGTTCCTAGCATTTTTCATAAAAAAAAAAAGAAAAAAAAAAGGGAAGTAGTCACACACAAACACACACGCTTATCTCACACAAGGTGCATACGCAATGAATTCATCACAATATTGGGGATAGATGGATTGTACTGTGCCATATATGCATCTCTGCCTTCACTTTGTATGGAAGTCGTGGTCATGAAGGAATTAGATGCCACACTAGAGAAGATCTTTACATTGGTGCCCTCTATAGCTGGTATGATGTCCTTTGGAGTGAAGGTGTTAGTAGTCCGCATGCAATCTGGTACCACGACAGGCACTCTAGGGGCAGCCATCTCCATAGACTAGCAGCATCCTCGCTTGCCGAAATACCAAAATCGACAGAAGGGGCCCTCTAGCAAAATCCTCTCCAACTTACTAGAGTGATGTCGAACATCGCGACGAAGCACATCACGGTATTCGATGCCACACCTATCCACAACGCCCAAGTCATAAACAAGACAAGCATGAAGTTTAGAAATCTGATAGCATAATGAATTGTGTGGGTAAAAATCTGACCACACTGCCCGTTTAGTGATCAGCAGCAAAGCACCGGCAGAATAGATGGCTCCAGCAACCTGTAACAGAAAAGAAAAGCTCCGGCGGTGGTTCTTCCACCCGGGGGCACTCCGACGATCAAGTCAGTATGTTTCTCAAGGATAATCAAGTATTAAACTGAATACTCAAAGTATGAATTACATACCTTAGACCCACGGGGGTGCCTCTCTTTTATAATGTACTCAATCCAAGTCCAACTAGAAGCATGACTTCTATGAACTCCAATCTTAGTGCTTACTCTGGACTCTTTAGGAGATAGAGATAAACTCCCTAAGAGTTTTATCCTTATCTTTAATTAAGTCCCCTCTTTGCTTCAGGACTCTTGCCCCTTATCTTTGGATTCCGATATCTTTGGAGATAACCTCGGCTTCTCCGAGATTACCTCGGCTTTAACTACCAGGGCACGTGGCACCTCGGCTGACACGTCGGCGTCACCATGCCACGTGTCGGTATTCAGAAAATATGTCCCCACATGAATGAAAGCAACATAGTACATGATTGAAGAGGGATTAAGCCAATTTCCTGATTAGGGGTCACTATGTCGAAATACTATCTAAACTTGTAAAAGGTCGACAACCGTGGGGCCTGGCGGTGATGCTAATAGAAGTATAGTCGGGACCAAGAGACAACGTGCTAGTCCATCTCTTGAGCGTCAGGGACATTTGCCGTAAAATACTCAAAGCTCTAGATCTACAATTCAAAGAGTTGATTAGTACAAGATGAGGCAAAAATTTCAGAATAAATGCATAAATGACATGTGCAATGTAGAAATGACATAAAACAGTAAATTGTACCTTCCATCATTTCTAATGCCCTTCGATGGTCATCTCTCAGCTGCGCATGACAACACTAGCATATCTATAGAGGGTGACTAGAGCAGCGCCACCTCAATCGTAGTCGTCGATGTGATCAATGTCTACCACTAAGTAGTGGAGATGTATCTTGTTTAGAGGCGACTCCACATAGTAACCGATGGTATCTGAGTAAGCCATCAAAGTATCAAAATTTAAAAAGAAAAAAAAATTATTTATGTTATCAATATTTTGTTTGATATAAATTAATCTCATTAAAAAAGTTAAGAGGCCCCCATCAAATATGAATTCATGATCTATTGTTTTGAGAAGTTTAAATCACTCTTACAATTATTAAAAATAGTTTTTGAGTTTTTTATTTTTTCATTTTTAGTGAACTTTTTAAATATTTTAAGTAATTTTTTGACTTTGTAGATTTACTTAATCTACACACTTAGATACATTTCAAAAGTAAAATATTTATGAAAAATAATTTAAAACTTCACTTGCATACAAAAATAAAAAAATTTAAAAATTAGTATATTTTAATTTTTTTTTCTTTTGTATTTGTTGAATTTTTAAAAAAACAATTACAAATATTTTATTTTTTAGATGCATACAGGTTAATTACATCTAAAAAGTAAGAAATATATATATTTTCCCCATCTAAAGATAACAAAACACAAAATATATATATAATAAAAAAAACTCAGTATTGTTTTTGAAAACTCAAAATCACTGAAAACCAAACAAAGTAAATGTTGTTTAGTTTAAATTTTTTTTAATAGAATTTATGGAACTTAAAGCTTTTGGAGTGACCCATCTACAAGCTAGTACAAATTTATTAAAGTTGCCTTTTTGAAATTCAAAAAGAAAAAAATCAGCTACATATGTATAAATAAATCAATTATACACTACAAAATATACACACCTCATTGAGTCAAAACTCATTCAAGGGGCCACTCCAAAACTCATACCCCTTCATATCTACAATCTCAGATCTGGAATATTAACTTCATCACTGCATATATATATTCAAATCAGAAATTTCATGAAAAATTTTGAGTGAAGAGAGAGAAGATCAAAGTGAGCAAGTAGGCCTTGAAGATAATACAAATAAACATAAACACTACTATGATAATAATAATAAAATAAAAAAGAGGGTATAACACTTACTAGCAATGGAACCCAAAAGAACATGACTATATGTTAGGTCCCTTTATTGTCAAATCCGGGTACAAAACTTTGAGTTGTTAAAGTTGTAATTTTTCCTGTATTTTTGTCTTTCTCGCTCGAGCGGAGTTTGTGGTATCTCAATAGTTTGACAGGTCTGTAAAAGTACTGGGGTGTGTGATTTTACGCTCGAGCGGAATCTCAAGCGCTCGAGCGTACCTCTGTTTAATCACACGCATATTTTGTTGAAGCTGCTCGAGCAGAATGTGGAGCCCTCGAGCGGAGATCGCGGACTCAGATTCTCTATTTATACCTGTTTAGGTTAAGTTTAGGATTACTTTTTTTTCCTAGATCCTATTCAAGAGTCCTAGGGTTTTGTTTGAAGTTTTCTTCTGAGTTTTTTGTGAGTTTTCCTTGATGTTCTTGAGAGAGTTCTAAACTTATGCATTAAGATTCATACATCAAGGAATTTGATACTTTATATTCAAGAGAGTTATCTTTGGTGGAATCTGAAGGTTAAAACGTAGAGTTTCAAAAGGCGTTTGATTCTATACGTAGTCGTTAATTCGACAAGCAAAGTTGTGGGATCAACTTCAGGATTGATCAGTTCCGTGACGAAGGCGTGGTGAAAGAGTTGCAGAAGATTCGAGGACAAATTGACTGGGTTGGGTAATTTGTGTATTATCTTTGTAATCTTTCGGTCTTCAGTAGTGGATTGATTAGTGGCGGTTCGCCCGTGATTTTTTATTACAATTGAAGGTTCTTCAATTGTGGTTTTTTCCACATAAAAATCGTTTGTGTCGATTTATTGTTTATTCTTAAAAACAAACAAACTAAAATCACTCTCGTAAGTGCTTGTTGATTTTAGATTGAGTGTTTTGAATAATTGGGATTTGAAATATTTTAATCTTGATCTAATCACGAATCACTTAGGATTTTCACTATAATTTGAAGTTTGATTTACACCTAATAGAAAATGCAGGTGCCTACACTATACAAATAATAGTGACTAATTAATCACAAACATATACATATACATATTAACCACCCAAAAAATTTCCTCAATAATAAAAAAATGACTACTTACCTAACAAACAAAAATCCAACTAATTTTAACCACCCAAAAAATTTATTTATTTATTTATTTTCAATAATAATTAAACAACCAATCCAATTTCCAGATGAGAAGAATATGTTCTCTAACATAAGCATTGTCGGATATGAAAATGAAGTCAATAATTAACCTACAAAAATCCTAAAAGTAGAGAAAGATTGCACTTGCAATTTCAGTGAAACCAACAGAATTTTAATAGAACACTACTTTACCTCTGGTGTTCAAATTTGATTTTCAAATTTCATGTTTGGTTTGATTTTTAAATTATACTGAAATAGGAAAATCACAACATAAAAGCCGAGAATGGTAAATTCAAAATATATCATCTTATCTTTGTACAAAACAAGCAATCATATATCAGAATAAAGCATACAAAAGCATTGCCATATCCCTTTTTTCTTATAGTGAATTTAACTGTAAAACAATTAATTATAATCAAAAAATTTCAAAACTCATAACCAAACACATAATTCAAAACTCAACTCAGAAATTATTTTTAAAACTCACAACCAAACGCACAATTCAAAACTTTTTTCAAAAGTACGAATCGGGCAATTTTCCATCAACACCTATGAATAATACAAGATAAAATAACAAATGAGAATGAAAATTATCCATTCATTATTAACGGAAAATTAAGAGAATGAATTGAAAGGAAAAGACAAGGGATGAATTGTAAAACAGAGTAGTGTGTTTAATTAATCAGTAATGTATTGATAATTTCAACATTCACAATAAACTAGAACTGTCTTACAATCCAAAAGAAATGGATAGCAAACTCCCACTTGTGATAAAAATCTGAGATGATATTAGTAATGAGAAAATAAATAAAATGGTACGACAGATTTTGCGTGGGTATGTTTGTACCTTGCAGGTGGCTGCTTATTGTATATCTACTTCAGGAATGTATTGGATGATGGGCCAATATTCTTTCCCCTTTACACACTTCTGTTTCAGTATTAGATTACATCTACGGATCACCAGTGACAAAAGCGAGGGAGGGAAGCCTTGTTCTGGAAAGGTCGCAAGCTCAGGGCAGTTATGGACCGATAGATGCAAAAGAGAGGGAGGCAACCCTTCCTTTGGAAAGGACGCGAGCCTAGGGAAATTCCAGATATCAAGTCTTTGGAGAGAGGTGAGGCTTTGAAACTCCTCAAAAGAGAGTCTTTCCAGATTTGGGAAGCTTTCGATGGTCAAATTGATGAGAGAGGTGGGCAGGAACATCCCTTCTTCTGGAAAGGACACCGTATCTCCCCACGGCCAATCTGGGCCTTCAAGTTCGAGTGTTGTAAGAGAAGAGAGTTTGTGCAAACCCCACTCTAATGGGGATGGAGGCGGAAGTGGAAGTTGACCGACGTCGTCCCCTCTCAAATCCTCGATACGAAGTGAAGTGATGTTGGTGGGGAAACTCCCTTCCTTGACAAAGTAGGAGACTATTCCTGCTCTGCATCTATATAAACATAGCTTTTGAAGCGAAGTGAGTTGGTTGATGTTGTTGTTCTCATCATGACCACCAAGTGACCGGGGCTCCAGATTAGGACAACCTCTTATCCACAATTCACTGAGATTATTGGCTTCAGGTAAAGATTTGAGTCTCCCACAAAATCCGATATCAATAGTTTCAAGAGATGGACAATCAATTTTGATCCCTTCCTCTGCAAAAAGTGACTCCAGCTTTGCACACGAACGAATCCAAAGTTTTTTTAGTGTGGATGGTAGCCCACCTCTTGACAATAAATATGTGAGTGATTCACAGCTAGAAACCTGCAACTCTAACAGATTATTGAGTGTCATCAACTCGGGTAGGGACTTCAAAGCATTACACATTGAAACGCTAAGTTCCCTCAGCATAGATGGCAAACCTTTCATTGGAAAAGAGATCAAACTTGCACAATTGCGGATTGTAAGCACCCCAAGAGATGTGTATGTGTGCAGATCTTGTGGCAGTTTCTTCAGCATTGCACACTCTTCAATTGTTAAATACTTGAGTCTCGTCATGCAAGGCAGCCCCTCATGTTGCTGCTTTTTCAAACCTTCTCCTTCTTTTTCTTGCTCTTCTTCAAACAAGCAAACCAGTTTGGGGCAATCAGAAATCTCCAAATGGCAGAGGGAAGGGAGACATACTTGCATTCTCGCCTTATTCCGCCACAATGTTACGAGTTCTTGGCAGTTACTAATGTTCAATTTCTCAAGTCCCATCAAATCTCGAGTAAACCATGTCGGTAGGAATGCCAGTTTTTCAACATGAGAAATGCTCAAAGCAGTTATTGAAGTCAGATGCTTAGACATTTCATTAGCCAGTAACTCTTCATCAGTTGTGCTTGGATCGCCGAGGGAGTCAAGAACTGTAACATGGCTAATATTCAAGGTGAGGGAACCAAGTTCAATCGTGTTCGTCGTCCCTAAGAGTGCTGGAAGGCTTAGGAGCATAACATTATTCATTGACAAGGATGCAAGTGATGGCTGAATGAGGCTCAAAACATCAATCAACAACTGCGGACAACCATCAATTTTGAGAGAATTGAGACAAGGAAGATCATTTGGTAATCTTCCAACAAGTTTGGGACAATTTATGATGGAAAGCTTACTGAGATGACCAAATGGCTGAACTCCCTCTGTTTCAAAAGCAGACCAATCCTCCCATTCTGGCATCAACTCAAAGCTCAGTCTCTCTAGAGAGGGGAAAGGTTTGGCACCACACTGCTGCCCAGAGAACTCACAACCCAAGCTCTTTATTGCACTCATTCCTTCAATGTAAAGGTCTTTAAGCAAGGGTAGTTGTCCAAGTGGTGGCAAAGATGTGCAACATTTGCTACCTTTTAATCGCATGAACACCATTTTGGAGAACGATACATCTCCAACCCAGTTTGGAAATTTTGTACTGCCATACCCACTGATGGTGAGTCATTCCAAAAATATGAAAGGTCTCATCACATCAAGCACATCCCTCTCAACTATGTCATTCTGTGAATTACAAAATTCATCCCATTCTAGTGATAACTCTTTTAACTCCTTAGATGTTAAATTGGCATCCCTTGCATCCTTAACACCATTGACATTCTCTAGTCTTGATATGTGTATTGCCCCTCGAATGTGTGATAGGTTTTTCAACTCTCCTATTTTACGCCCATAATCTTTACCCACTATAAAATTTGACAATGTTTGGAGATTAGTTAATTTACCTATATGTAGTGGCATCTCTTCTGATGATGGAATATGCACGCCAATCATGTCAAAATGGCGCAAGTTCACCAGCCTCTCCATGTTTAGAGGCAACTTCTGAAGTTTACGACAATATTTCAAAAGCAAGACTTGTAAATTGTAGAGAGTTACCACTGTGTCAGGTAACCTTGTAATCCCAGAATTGGATAAATCAAGGTACCGCAAATGCTTTAGATCTCCAATGGAATCGGGTAGCTCATTTATCCCAACACTACACAAACGCAACTCATGCAAGCATTTTAACTTTGGCAACAAATCATGCATCAAGTACTTTGTTACAGAGTGAAATTGTTGTTGTGGCAAAAATTCTAAGAATGTTCGTAAGCATTTGGCATCATCAAAAGCTTTAAATTTTTTGATTCCATCAAAACGGCTAGCAACATAAGATGCATGGCGTGCTTTGTCCGAAATCTTGTTCTGCCTGCCACCCTCTAAATTATTTTCCAACCTAAAACATTTGTTCCCCGCTACATCTTGAGCCAAATCATTGATAAGGTCATGCATTATGAATTGCGATTTGTTACCACTTGACGGTTGAAAAAATGATCTTGACACCAATTCATGAAAATACTTGCGGCCTAAATCTTCCATTTGGTCTCCATCGTTTGGTTTCTCAATTAAACCTTCAGCCATCCATAGCAAGACTAATTCCTCCTCCATGAATTCGTAGTCCTTTGGGATAATTGCACAGTAGGAAAAGCACCTCTTCAAATGGACCCTGCCAACGTTTTGCTAAGTTGAACTTGCACCTCATTTAAGTTACTAAAATTACATGAACCGTGAGTGAACGACTCGAGAATTGCCTTTGTTATTCTCATAACTTCGAAGTCATCAGATACACATGCCCATGCTTTTAGATTGAAATGCTTTTCCACTCTGTCGTCATTGTAAATGTGCTGAGCTAGTGTAGTCTTGCCAATCCCACCCATTCCTACAATAGGAATTACATCAAAAAGGTTTCCAGCAGGAGCATCCGCAAGCAGCAATTCGATAATTTGCTTGATGTCTTCATCTCTTCCATGAATGTGAGGCTCCTTCAAACATGTAGTTTGTGATCTCTGCCGTAAATCTGTAGACATCCTCCCAACAAGTCTTTTATCTAAACCAAGATCTTTTCCTTTTGTAGCAACTTCTTGTAATTGACTAGTAATCTCATTTAGCTTTGACCCAGTTTTTAAATTGAATGGAACAATAGAAGAGAGACGTGGAAACTTAGCTGGTCTTCTTCCCATTGTCGTCTCCTCCGCCATTAGCTTCCTTTCGAGAGCTTCAGTGTCAAAGTCATCCAATAAGTCATCTGCGTCATAAGCCAAAGGTTGAACCTCTTCTAGCCACTTTTTGATATCCTTGTCGTACACTTGTTTGTTCTCTGCATCAGCCAACAGAGTCTCTAAATCCTCTAATGCCTTCTTCAGATTCTGGATGCCAGTGCCAGCGTCGGCTGTGCTCACTAAGTTGCTAAAATAAGAGGACAAGTTATCAACCATAGCTTGTACGAATGGAGAGATAAAGATCCCAAATACATCCATGGTGTTTGTTCTGAAAGAAGGAAGGTAATGAAACCAAGCAACACAGATATCAAGAACAGACTGAAGAACCTCTACAAACTTGGAACAGACTTTGGTGGTAAAGGTAAGAAATTGAGTCAAAATGAAGCAATACACGGATCAAGAACAGGCAGAACCTCTACAAACTTGGAACAACTTTGGCAGAAAAAATATATGAAAGGTAAGAAACGATGCAATACAGAGATCAAAAACAGAATCAAACTCTGCAAACTTCAAACAACTTTGGAATTGTAAAGGATCTGAAAAGTCAGAAACTCATTGAAAAAAAACAGTTTGAAGAAGCTCTGCAAATGAGTAGTAGTTGAAGATTGTAAGTTGTGACCAAAAGCAAATGAGGAAGTGGTGAAAGAAGGGGCATGAAGAAATTAGAAGTCAACAATAATGGGGTCTCATCTCATTGGCCATTTTTCCAGTTTGTTTGCTACCTACTTTTTTATTAATTTCTCTATATAATTGGTGGATGTGATCAGGAAGAGATATGAATAGTGAGAGAGGCCGGCCTTTTATGAATAATGTTTAATATTGCTGAATTTTCATTCTCGTTGGACTTCTTGGTTTCTAGCTTTTTTTGTTTTTTTTATTTAAAAAATCATTTTCTAGTTCTTTTATGGATTAGGTACAAATGTAAGAGTATGATAAAGCATAGGTTCACTAACCATTTATATTCCACCACAAGTGCCTCTATAATAATCAAATTTCTGAAAAATTAGACATTTAAAAGTTAGCAACTTCACTAAATTTGAGCTATGTGGTCCTGGTGTTTTGATCCAATAATTTATTAGTCACCTCACCTAGTAGCTTATTAAAAACTTAATTAACAGTTTTTCCATTTTGTTTCAAGAAAGGTACATATTCACACGTATATACGTCTCAAATTGTCAATCTTTTTCAATACCAAAACTATGCAAACCAACTTTACAAAAATGAGCAGCTGCAGTGTTTTTCAATACACTCTAATAAGTATCCTCTTTCAACCCCACAATGTGCAGAGGTCATATACAACACAATACAACACACTCACCCTAGCCAAACAAAATGTCTCCTTATTCACACTGATGCATTAATTTCAATTCAAGGAGTAGTAGTATTCACAGAGATCTCATTTCTAGTCAAACTGTAAAGGTATCTTCAGACGCTGCAATGGCTTTAGTGCCACCATTAGATGTGCAAACAAAGGCCACAAGTTCGGATCACTGCACACAATAGTGGGAAGAAATTAGAAGAGATAAATGAGATTAAGGCTTTGGATATAAATATATGATATATTATTTATGTCCACATATATGTATTTCCGTCTTTTTCCTTTTGAAAATCCCTAGTCTAAAAGAACATTTTAGACTTGACTCCATAGTTTTTTGATTTTGGAAGGTATTATGTCTAAGGGCCTAACTAGCACTATGCCTCAGAATATCAACTTATCTGAAAAAAGGATGAGAACTTTGTTCAAGTAATTGCACTTCTACATCATTTATATGATCAAGTAACAAAGCATATTCTCTCTAAAGAATGCTCTTGAAAAGTAAATTCTGATAAATCAGCCACCTAACCAGCTACAAATGAAGACGTGTGTCATGGGACTTAACTCTTTTTTTAAAAATAAAAATAAAAAATCAAAATCAAAATCAAAACCATGAAATAAGGGTATAAGCATAATTATAATGAAAGAAGTCAATAGTGGCATCTCATTTCACTCAGTGGTCCATTTTCCAACCAGGTTTTGCTACTTTTTTACTCATATCTGTATCTGTACTTCAATGGCAGCTAGCAGGAGTGGAAAAAATAAAATTAAAAGAGCTGTTAGAGAAGTCAATAATGGCATCTCATCTTCAGTGTCTCATTTTCCCGTCAGGTTTGCTACTCATTTTTTACTAATGAAAATTAATTAAAAATAAAAAGAGCTGTAGAGAATCTTTGAGGAGTTCAGATCCTCTGTAGTGTTTCATTCTGTAGTTCTTGTGTAGTGTACCAAAACGATGCCGTTTTGGTGGAAAAAATAAAAAATAAAAAAACAACCAGAGCTCCTTCTTCCCCTTCCCAATCAGCCACCATGACCACCTCCTGTCCATGGTGATTGGCTATCAATCAATGCACTGCTTTGCTGCTGCTTAGGCTAATAGGCATTCCAATCATGTGCACCTGTACCATACACCTGTTGCGTGGCATCTTTTGGTAGGATGTTACATATGCTTTGGCCATGTGGCACTCTGTGATTAGTTGAAATGTTTCCTAGCCAAAATCTCATTCTATGAGTGATTAAATTCGACGGGAACATGTTTCTCAAGGTCTTTGGTCATTCCGGATTCAATGATGAGCTCCATTTCTACAAATTCTGAATATTTTTGTGAGTATTAAAATAAATAGAATAAAATAATAAAAAATAAAGATATTAAAATAAAATCCTTACCACCCTTATTAAAATTGGGGGAAAATGGGATGTCAACCATAACCAAACTGTTTTGGGGGAAAAAAGTTTTAAACCAACTTATATTTTTATATCATTATTATATTAAGCTAACATCTCATTTTTGTGTGAACACAAAAGGAAGTTATATGTAACGCAATTTTAAAAACCAAAATTGTATAAGAAAGAGGGGACAAAAAACACATTTTAACAAGTGCAATAATTTCAACTTTCATTAATTGGAAGGGCAAAAAAGGAAAAAATCTCGCACAACACGTGTGTAGAATTGCTTCGGTTTTGAGATTATTAATCTTTCATTCAGTTACTGAAACAACTCCGATGTCATGTATTGACAATTATAATATATTTTCTTCAAAACTATATCAATATACACTTGCAACATGCATTGCGTGTGCCACGAGTCTCTTATAATAGTGTGTGTATATATATATATATATATGTATTTTGTGGTATCAAGAGGTTGGGCTGATTTGGATTCATTTGTGATTTCTGCCTCATATTCTATACTATGCAATTTATTCTAATACGTAATTACCCTTCAACAACTTACTCATGAAGAAATGCTAGTTTACTTTTTCTTTTTCTTTTTTCTTTTTTTATTTTTTAAGAAAGGAATAGAGAAGAGTAACCTGGCAATTTGCATAGCACAGGAGTAAGACTTGTACCAAAGTATCATATCTGATAAGAAAGCGCTTTGTTAGGTTTTGGTAATTGGCAATCCGTTTGACAAAAACACCATTCAATTGTAATTGTTTTCGTTTTTTTGTTCTATGAGGTTATGAGAGTTTAGATGCAAATCCAACATGTGTTGTGCCTGAGTAGAGGGGTTTGCACTAACGTTCCGTATCTTGACTTGAGCAGTCCTTGTTTGCTTCTTCTCTGACTAAGTATGGTGATTGAGCGCTGGGAAGCATGTTTTACCGCTCAGTAATTCATTCAGTATCTCAGCCTGCATTCTGAACTTTTGGGAAGCATGTTTACTACTCAAGCGGTAGATGTTATGCTCAAGCAGTTAGCCTGTATGTGAGCACCGCCTTTAGTCACACCGCTCGAGTGGTCTTCACTTTCCTTTTTCGTATAAAGTGCATCGTTTGCTCGTTTTAGGGTTGATCCCGTCTAGATTCTCAAAGAGGAGTAAAAAAACAAAGTGTTCTATATTGGACAATGGTTATATATGAGTTTCCTTGATGTATAGAAGGTGATCAATTGATCAACGAACTACATACTGACAAATATCAAGGATTGTTTTTGTTCTTTCATTCACAAAAGAGAGAGGTGTTCATCGATGGGTTCGGAGAAACTTGGGCCTGAAACTTTGGTGGATTTCGGAGTTGCTCATCATCGTGGATTCAACATTGGCATTGTGGATTTAACGTTGGGCAAAGCAATTCCGAGGTGAAGATGGTGGTGGAAGAGGCACATCAGGTTCGGTCCAATTCGGGCGTGGATTCCCTAGATAATTGAAGGTTCTCTTGTGTAATTCCTTTTTGTCTTCTTAGTGGATTGTGTTTGTGGCTTTGGCCTGTGGTTTTTTAATCACAATTGGAGGAGTCCAATTGTGATTTTTTCCACGTTAAATTGTTGTGCCGATTTGTTATTGATTGTTTGATTGGGATTGCTATTTATTGTTTAAAATTGGATCAAAATCACAAATCACAATCTCGGGAAATTTTAGATTTTTCACGCTTCATACACTAAACCAATCCTTGATCTTTGCTTATTGATTCTTCAAACACAAGCAATAGTTAATTTTGGTAGGTAGTAGTGTACATTTGGGGTGTCATTTCATTTGTTATGTGGTTTTATTAACTGGTTTTACACTCAAAACACTTGACTTTAGCAATTGAATGCATTAATTTCAAATCGAGTAGTAATAGTATTTTCTGAGATCTCTCGTGGAAGTGGTGAACTTTGCTCGTCAAACTGTAAAGGTATATATGATCATAAATTTTTTGAAAATACTGTCTTGAAAAGTACCAAAAAAAAAAAAATTAGCGATAAAATTTTGAAAATGTCCTTTATAAAAGTATATTTAGGGACAAAAACAATTTTGTACCAATAAGTTTATTTTTGTGACGAAAATTTTGGTTCCAAAGATAGTAATTCATTCCTAAATTTTCAATTTCATCGCTAAAAAACAACAATGACACTTTTGGAAACTAAGATAATTCGTCTCTAAATTTTTCTCTCTAATACCTTAATTTGTTGTCGTGACCAGATGTGGGCAAGTTCATCCATTCTAGATTAATTTGTGTAATCTAGGTAGGTATCTTGAGGCTTTGTCTCAAGTTGTTGCCTCTATTTTAGACTTGTTTGGTATTCTAATGATAACATCACATGGAGACATTGGATAGTTCAAAATTCTGTTTTGTTGGGAGTGTTTTTAGGCAAGGGTGCGGTTCATTATCTTTGAGCTTCCTCTTCTAATGAGCTAGATGTTCAATGGCTAATAGCCACATTACATATGGGATTTATTTTATCATTCAACAGTGAACCTTTGCAGCTGCAACTCAACTAAAAAGAGCACAAAGATAATGAACCATACTGATTTCATACTTCTTACTTCTATGACGACATCTATGTCCTAATACAGAAAAGGAACTTTCATACAATCCTCACAACAAATGTATGTCCTAAAAAGATTTATTCAATGAATAAAAGCCTCAGCAGTTATATAATCAAAGATGAGAATTGAAGGTCTGCCTTTCCATGTTACTTGTAAAGAATATTTCCATGAAAAATTGGGGGTAGATTTGGATTGTTAAAATATTTTGTCAAATGAAAATGGATTTTTCTTCTTTCAGATTCAGTTCAATAAGGAAGGAGATATTAGACCAAGTCTTGGATAGTGGTACTCGGCATTTTGCAAGAAAATGGAAGCCTAATATGTATTTGTTAAAAGAAAATTTTGAAGAAGGTGCCAGTAGAGGCACTGTTTTGTAATATCTGCTTAGAATTTTGGACTGAGAAAGGACTAGTAACATTGCTAGTGCCACTTGCAAGCCTTTGTGTTCTGGCTGACGTACCAAATCTTGCAAAAGATTTATCTTTCTGAGAATCTGCAATTGAGATGGGTTTTTATTTTATTTTTCCAGAGAAAATAAAGTTGCAATTCTCTAGTGTTGATAGTTGGACTAAACCAATCAAAATCCTTGGAAACCCATTGGAGACACCAAATGCAAATTGTTTGGGCATAATGAAGTGAAATGCTTTGTGGGAAATATAATGAAAAGCAGTTGAAAAAGAAATTAACAAATGACAATCCTAAGAAGGAAGAGTGGGTCATTATTACTTAGAAAATTAAAATGAAAAAAGAAAAATTGAGATGGAGGAAAAGATGGACATTGGGGAAAGCTCAGAGACTGTTTTTGAAGAAATTTCAAAGAAAATGGATTGTCAAATACAAGGTGCTATTAGGTAGGCCTTTCATTTTGTTACATTGATGATATTTCTGAGGACCTATTGGTCAATGATAAATAGTGTGAAGAAAATAAGCAGCTTGAAGGCAAATTAGAAGGGGAATGATGCATACTAATAAATGCTTTCCAAATTGAGAACACAACAGAGAAGTGCTTAGGAAGTAGTATAATTACCTGATGCTAATTAATGAACCAAGATTACAACTAAAAGACCTGTCAATAATACCCATACCTGATTCGAAAACAATAAACTTAGAGGTGTTAGGAAATTCATAAATGAGAATAAAATGACCCTATTAGAATTAGTGGAGAACAAAATACGGTTCGGAAACAGCATCAATGTTGCTCAGAATTGTTAGCCTCTAACCATTACAATATATTTCATAATGCTAATGAAAATACCATTGGGAGAATTTTGGTGGGTTGGAGATAATCATATACAGTTTTTTTTTTTTTTTTTTGTCACTTTCCCTCCACAAATACCCCCTTAAATATGTTAACCAAACACAACTTAAAAGTTTTAAAGTTGCAAACCTCTAAACAATTATTACTTGCAGAGTTGAATTTCTGGATAATAATATGAAGTCTTGTTTTGTATCCCCCCCTGGGATGAAGATACTCTCAAAGAAGTCGAAGATGAATTCTTGGCTCCTATAGGTTCAGATCATTGTGCTCCTATTGTTACTTTGATGCTTGAAATTGAATTGAGAAAACTTTTCAAATTCTTTAATTATTGGATGAGACCTGGGAATGTCAAGCAGATTCTTCGAACTTTTGAAAATTTGAATAATAACATGTTCCCAAGTGTTGAGAAATGAGTCCTAAAATATAAAGACTCTGTTCTTAGAGAGTTGAACAAACTGCTCTAACTTCAGCTTGAGAGTGCACCATATAACCATAATGAACAGGAGGCCCTTCAGCATTATATCAATCTCTATGGTTCAGAAGAATCATTCCACAAGTAAAGTCCATAATAAGATGACAGCTTTGAATATATATATGGTGCAAATATATTATGTATGTCCACATATATGTATTTATGTCTTTTTCCCTTGACAATTTTATACTTGACTCCATAGTTTTTTCTTTTTTAATTTTTATTTTGGCAGGTATTATGTTCCAAGGTCCAAACTAGCATTTTGCCCTGGGAACATCTACTAAACTGAATACAGAATCTGAACTTTGTTCAAGTAATTGTGCTTCTACATCATTTATACGATCACATAACAAAACATACTCTCTCTTTCTCAAGAATGCTCTTGAAAAGTGAATACCATGTGAACACTCAATTAGGCCATGTGGCACATAGTAGAAGAAAGTTAAATTCTAATAAATCAGCAACCTAACCACCTATAAATGAAGATGTGTATCCAGGGACTTAAAACAAGGCTCAGGGCTTCTTCTTTCATATGTATTCATGTTGTTTCATTAAAGAAACTGCTACACTGCCTAAAAAACAGCACTAATTTGCCCTTAATGTACAAGTTAATAGCTGAAATAATTGATTGGTGGGACGTCTAATGGACTAGAGAATTGGATAAAACAGAAATTGTGCTGATTTAGCGATAATACAATCAAATAGCTACAACTCCAATTGTTTATTAAGGCAGTAAGCAATAAAATACAGTAGAAGCATCATGGTTTCTATTAGAGAAAATCAACTATCTGATTACATTCTGTAACTTGGAGTGCCCAAGAAATTGTAATAAAGCTGTGAATGCCGACAGTGCATGGGATGTTAACTGCTGAAGTGTGAGCAAGTTGGATGGTGTTGGTCCCCTTGCATGAGTTACTTCTTTTTTTATTTGGATAAAACAGAGACAGCTAATAATAGGAATGTTCTAGAAGGATAGGAAGTTTAGCAGGCAGTGTCCATCCAAAAGATTCATCCACTATGTTGTCAGCCCCAAATGCTAAAGCATTAACCCAACAGTTTGCTTCTCTTCTCTTCCAAGAACACCATAAAGGATTCAAGCTGTTGAAAATTATATTAATCTCCTCCACAATGTCTCCAATAACTGAAATATCTCCTGAACAATTCTGAAGCAGAATCTTCAATGCAAAACTGTATACAACAAAGCATAGGGCTTCAATATGACCTAATCAACATCCAATACAAAAGGTTAGAAGGCAATTTTTAATTTTTTACCCGAAATTTGGTGGAGATAATTTTTAATTTTTTACCCTAGAACTTAGAAGGGCAAATTTCATTAATAAATAAAATTGAAGTTAGCAACCAAGCTCAAGCTCTTTTGAAGGAAAACACAAGTAAAGGACCAAACTATATCATTTCATTAACTATCATTACTTGGAAGTCATTTCATTTTTTTTTTCCAGCTTAATTAAGCTATTTCATCTCATATTAAATGACTTCTTAAATGGTCTAAAAAGACAACTAGGAATTGATTAGTGCAAGTTCTGCCATAAGGCCATTTTTTTACAATTAGACAAATTTCCCCTTTTCTCCAATTATTGGAACAAATAGGACCTTCTTGTAGTAAAAATATTACAAAATTTCATGTTCCTATGAGATGCAAGATTGGTGTTATATGTCAATTTTTCCAACTTTTCGAATTTTTTGATGAGAACCAATTTGACAATATTGTGTAATAACTAACATGGTTAATAAATGAAAGAATGCCAGAGTGTGCCTTGGATTTAGATTCTCAAATGTAGTCTAGCATGCAAGGAGAAAGGTTTTAAAACTTGTGATATTAAACAAATTTATTGAAGTTTCAATGATCAAAATTCTTGCGTTTGAAGAGTGTATAGTAGGGAGGCTTTTTCAATTATAGTCTGTGGAAATGACTTCTTTCTCAATTTTCTTTTTCAATTGCTGGTAAGTGTATAAATAAATCAATTATACACTGCAAAATATACACATCTCATTGAGCCAAAACTCATTCAAGGGGCCACTCCAAAACTCATACCCTTTCATATCTACAATATATACTAAGATCTGAAATATTAACTTCATCACTGCATATATATATATTCAAATCAGAAATTTTGAGCAAAATTTTGAGTGAAGAGAGAGAAGATCAAAGTGAGCAAGCAGGCCTTGAAGATAGTACAAATAAACATAAACACTACTATGATGAAAAAGTATAACACTTACCAGCAATGGAAGCCAAAAAACACGACTATAATTTGAAGTTTGATTTTGCAACTAATAGAAAATGTAGGTGCCTACACTATACAAATAATAGCGACTAATTAATCACAAACATATACATATACATATTAACCGCCCAAAAAATTTCATCAATAATACAAAAATGACTACTTACCTAACAAACAAAAATCCAACTAATTTTAACCCCCCAAAAAAGTTTTTTTTTTTTTTGTCAATAATGATTAAGCAACCAATCCAATTTCCAAATGAGAAGAATATGTTCTCTAACATAAGCACTATCTGATATGAAAATGAAGTCAATAATTAACATACAAAAATCTTGAAAGTAGAGAAAGATTGCACTTGCGATTTCAGTGAAACCAACAAAATTTTAACAGAACACTGCTTACCTCTGGTGTTCAAATTTGATTTTCAAATTTCATGTTTGGTTTGGTTTTCAAATTATACTGAAACAAGAAAGTCACAACATAAAAGCAAAGGATGGTAAATTCAAAACATATCATCTTATCTTTGTACAAAACAAGCAATCATAAATCAGAATAAAGCATACAAAAGCATTGCCATATCCCTTTTTTCTTGGAGTGAATTTAACCGTAAAACAATAAATTATAATAAAAAAATTTCAAAACTCATAACCAAACACATAACTCAAAACTTAATTCAAAAGTTATTTTTAAAATTCATAACCAAACACACAATTCAAAACTTTTTTTAAAAGTACGAAGAGGGCAATTTTTCTATCACCACCTATGAATAATACAAGTTAAATAACAAATGAGGATGAAAATTATCCATTCATTATTAAGGGAAAATTAAGAGAATGAATTGAAAGGAAAAGACAAAGAATGAATTGTAGTGTTTAATTAATCAGTAACGTATTGATAATTTCAACATTCACAATAAACTGGAACTCTCTTACAATCCAAAAGAAATAGATAGTAAACTCCCACTTGTGATAAAAATCTGAGATAATATTGGTAATGAGAAAATAAATAAATAAATAAAAATGGTACGACAGATTTTGTGTTGGTATGTATGTACCTTGCAGTTGGCTGCTTAAGCTGAGATGATATCTACTTTAGGAATGTATTGGATGATGGGCCAATATTCTTTCCCCTTTACACATTTCTGTTTCAGTATTAGATTACATCTACGGATCTCCAGTGACAAAAGCGAGGGAGGGAAGCCTTGTTCTGGAAAGGTCGCAAGCTCAGGGCAACCCCAGATATGTAGATGCAAAAGAGAGGGAGGCAACCCTTCCTTTGGAAGGGACGCGAACCTAGGGCAAAACAAGATATCAAGTTTTTGGAGAGAGGTGAGGTTTTGAAACTCCTCATAAGGGAGTCTTTCCAGATTTGGGAAGCGGATGATGGTCAAAATGATGAGAGAGGTGGGCAGGAACATCCCTTCTTCTGGAAAGGACACCGTATCTCCCCACGGCCAATCTTGGCCTCCAAGTACGAGTGTTGTAAGAGAAGAGAATTTGTGCAAACCCCACTCTAATGGGGATGGAGGCGGAAGTGGAAGTTGACCGACGTCGTCCCCTCTCAAATTCCTGATTTCAAGTGAAGTACAAAAAAAATGGTATGACAGATATTTGTTTGTACCTGCAGTTGGCTGCTTAAACAATCATTTAAAGACAGGTTTTGAAGCAAAGTGAGTTGGTTGATGTTGTTGTTCTCATCACGACCACCAAGTGACCAGGGCTCCAGATTAGGACAACCTATTATTCGCAATTCACTGAGATTCCTGAGATTATTGGCTTCAGGTAAAGATTTGAGTCTCTCACAAGATACGATATGAACAGTTTCAAGAGATGGACAATCAATTTTGATCCCTTCCTCTGCAAAAAGTGACTCCAGATTTGCACACCAACCAATCAGAAGTTGTTTTAGTGTGGACGGTAGCCCACCTCTTGACAATAAATATGTGAGTGATTTACAGCTAGAAACCTGCAACTCTAGTAGATTATTGAGTGTCATCAACTCGGGTAGGGACTCCAAAGCATCACACCTTGAAACGCTAAGTTCTCTCAGTCTAGATGGCAAACCTTTCATTGGAAAAGAGATCAGACTTGCACAATCATCGATTCTAAGCACCCCAAGAGATGTGTATGTGTGCAGATCTTGTGGCAGTTTCTTCAGCATTCCACACTCTTGAATTGTTAAATACTCGAGTCTTGTCATGCAAGGCAGCCCCTCATGTTGCTGCTTTTTCGAAACTTCTCCTTCTTTTTCTTGCTCTTCTTCAAACAAGCAAACCAGTTTGGGGCAATTAAAAACCTCCAAATGGCAGAGGGAAGGGAGACATACTTGCATTCTCACCTTGTTCCGCCACAATGTTATGAGTTCTTGGCAGCTACTAATGTTCAATTTCTCAAGTCCCATTAAATCTCGAGTAAACCATGTCGGTAGGAACGCCAGGTTTTCAACATAAGAAATGCTCAAAGCAGTAATTGAAGTCAGATGCTTAGACATTTCATTAGCCAGTAACTCTTCATCAGTTGTCTTTGGATCGCAAAGGGAGTCAAGAACTGTAACATGGCTAATATCCAAGGTGAGAGAACCAATTTCAATCGTGTTCTTCGTCCCTAAGAGTGCTGGAAGGCTTGGGAGCATAACATTATTCATTGACAAGGATGCAATTGATGGCTGAACAAGGCTCGAAACATCAATCAACAACTGTGGACAACCATCAATTTTGAGAGAATTGAGACAAGGAAGATCATTTGGTAATCTTCCAACAAGTTTGGGACAATTTATGATGGAAAGTTCACTGAGATGACCGAACGGCTGAACTCCTTCTGTTTCAAAAGCAGACCAATCCTCCCATTCTGGCATAAACTCAAAGCTCAGTCTCTCTAGAGACGGGAAAGGTTTGGCACCACACTGCTGCCCAGAGAACTCACAACCCAAGCGCTTTATTGCACTCATTCCTTCAATGTAAAGGTCTTTAAGCAAGGGTAGTTGTCCAAGTGGTGGCAAAGATGTGCAACATTTGCTACCTTTTAATCGCATGAACACCATTTTGGAGAACGAAACATCTCCAACCCAGTTTGGAAATTTTGTACTGCTATACCCACTGATGGTGAGTCGTTCCAAAAATATCAAAGGTCTCATCACATCAAGCACATCCCTCTCAACTATGTCATTATGTGAATTACAAGATTCATCCCATTCTAGTGATAACTCTTTTAACTCCTTAGACGTTAAATTGGCATCCCTTGCATCCTTAACACCATTGACATTCTCTAGTCTTGATATGTGTATTGCCCCTCGAATGTGTGATAGGTTTTTCAACTCTCCTATTTTACGCCCGCAATCTTTGCCCACTATAAAATTTGACAATGTTTGGAGATTAGTTAATTTACCTATATGTAGTGGCATCTCCTCTGATGATGGAATATGCACGCCAGTCATGTCAAAATGACGCAAGTTCACCAGCCTCTCCACGTTTAGAGGCAACTTCTGAAGTTTACGACAATATTTCAAAAGCAAGACTTGTAAATTGTAGAGAGTTACCACTGTGTCAGGTAACCTTGTAATTCCAGAATTGGATAAATCAAGGTACCGCAAATGCTTTAGATCACCAATGGAATCTGGTAGCTCATTTATCCCAATACTACACAAACGCAACTCATGCAAGCATTTTAACTTTGGCAACAAATCATGCATCAAATACTTCGTTACAAAGTGAGTTTGTTGTGGTAAAAATTCTAAGAAAGTTCGTAAGCATTTGGCATCATCGAAAGCTTTAAATTTTTTGATTCCATCAAAACGGCTAGCAACATAAGATGCATGGCGTGCTTTGTCCGAAATCTTGTTCTGCCTGCCACCCTCTAAATTATTTTCCAACCTAAAACATTTGTTCCCTGCAACATCTTGAGCCAAATCATTGATGAGGTCATGCATTATGAATTGCGATTTGTTACCACTTGACGGTTGAAAAAATGATCTTGACACCAATTCGTGAAAATACTTGCGGCCTAAATCTTCCATTTGGTCTCCACCGTTTGGTTTCTCAATTAAACCTTCAGCCATCCATAGCAAGACTAATTCCTCCTCCATGAATTCGTAGTCCTTTGGGATAATTGCACAGTAGGAAAAGCACCTCTTCAAATGGACAGGGAGATGAAGGTAGCTCAATTTCAATGCTGTGAGAATGCCACTTTCCTCATTCCATATATTGCTGTTTAGTATCTCTTTCCATTCATGTTCTTGTTTACAGCATAATAAGCTGCCAAGGGCCCTCGCTGCCAAGGGTAAGCCTCTGCACCTGTTCTCAACAATTTTCTTACCAATCGATACCAATTTTGGGCATTCCTTTGGGATATTTCTATTCTCAAATGCATGTTGGGAAAAGATTAACCAACAATCGTCATGTGATAAGTTGTGCAAATTGTGATATTTATCCATTCCCATCTGCTTTGCAACACCTCTGTCTCGTGTTGTCACAATGATTTTACTTCCAGGTGCTCCAGCTCCAAATGGGGATCGTAACAAATTCCACCCATCACGTCCATAGTCCCACACATCATCTAGGACAAGCAAAAACTTTTTCCCTGCCAACGTTTTGCTAAGTTGAACTTGCACCTCATTTAAGTTACTAAAATTGCATGAACCTTGAGTGAACGACTCAAGAATTGCCTTTGTTATTCTCATAACTTCGAAGTCATCAGATACACATGCCCATGCTTTTAGATTGAAATGCTTTTCCACTCTGTCGTCATTGTAAATGTGCTGAGCTAGTGTAGTCTTGCCGATCCCACCCATTCCTACAATAGGAATTACATCAAAAAAATTTCCAATAGGTGCATCCCCAAGTAGCAATTCCATAATTTGCTTGATGGCTTCATCTCTGCCATGAATGTGAGGCTCCCTCAAACATGTAGTTTGTGGTCTCTGCCGTAAATCTGTAGACATCCTCCCAACAAGTCTTTTATCTAAACCAAGATCTTTTCCTTTTGTAGCAACTTCTTGTAATTGACTAGTAATCTCATTTAGCTTTGACCCAGTTTTTAGATTGAATGGAACAATAGAAGAGAGACGTGGAAACTTAGCTGGTCTTCTTCCCATCTTCGTCTCCTCCGCCATTAGCTTCCTTTCGAGAGCTTCAGTGGCAAAGTCATCCAATAAGTCATCTGCATCATAAGCCAAAGGTTGAACCTCTTCTAGCCACTTTTTGATATCCTTGTCGTACACTTGTTTGTTCTCTGCATCAGCTAACAAAGCCTCTAAATCCTCTAATGCCTTCTTCAGATTCTGGATGCCAGTGCCAACGTCGGCTGTGCTCACTAAGTTGCTAAAATAAGAGGACAAGTGCAAAAAGTAGAGAGAAAATAGAATATTTGACTTTTTGGTATGAGTTGTTGACTTTTTGAAATTTTTAGTACCTTTTTGACTTTTTGACTAAAATAGCTACTTGCCAAACAATGCCTAATTTGATATGGATTTGATGAAATGATTAAAGTTCACTTTTTAAAAATATATAAATATTTGTTTGATATTTTTTTAAGTGGGTGTTTGAGAAATTATTATTTGAATAGGTTATTTTAATTTTTAATTATTTTGGGCAGCTAATTGATATGCTTAACTGAAATGAACTTTACTCTTTTTGGTCCACATTTTGTACTACCACTGCATGAGTAAAAGGGAGATTTTGTGTCCATTGAAAAAAATAAAAATAAATAAATAAATAAAATCTAGTGTGTTTAGATTTTAAATTTGTGAAGGAAAAACTAAGGCCAAGTTTGGCATCCTCCAAAAAATTCAAAAAGTCAAAAAGTTACTATTCTATTTAAGTCATATTATCTTATTTAAGTCACATCACCTCTCTAACACATCATTTCAAATCCAACCCATATTTTATAAAAAGTCAAAAAGTGTTGCAGATGACCAGGACCAAGTTTGTTGCAGTAGCGGCAAGATCTAACGGGGCAATTGACCAGGAGATGGGTTGAAGAAAGGCCCCGATTCTGACAATAGAGGCAAGCAGTGGTCCGCTGGGTAAATGATGGCCGGGACGGAGGAGTGGCAAGAACAGAGTCCACATGATGAGTTTGAAGAGTACCGAGACGAGTCTCCTCTGATAGCAACTCAGAAATTGCTTGTTCAAGAGTGGGCAATGGATGGCGATGAAGCAGAGAGGCACGTACGGGCTCAAAAGAGGAGATAAGAGCCATGAGAAATTGTACCAACCGTTGCTGGTTGCGATAGATAGTAAATAAAACGGCATCTTCGGGGTCATGCCAGGCTGGTTCTAAAAGAGCAAGCTGATCCCAAACAGAGTACATTTGAGAAAGGAAGTCATTAATGGACTGAGTGGATTCTTGGCGCATGCGGTGAAGGTGGTTCTGAAGTTGATATTGATGGGCAAGACCAGTAGTCTGGTATCGTTCTTTCAAAAAATCCCAGATGTCCTTCGCAGGAGTAGTTACAGAGTCAAGCTGAAAGCGGCCAAATTGAAGACTGATAGAGGTAACAGAGGTATTACGAAACCAGGTAATGATTTGGTAATTCTTACTGTCCCATTTCTCAAGTCGGTCTTCATATGTAGCAGTATGAGTAGGAGTTTCAGTAGTGGCACTGTCTTTTACTGGTTTAGTCACATCCCCGGTGACAATTCGCCAGAGCTTCTTGCCTTTGAGGAAAGAGGACATGGCTTGGGCCCACAGAACAAAGTTTGAACCATTTAAAATGACGGAAATGGGATGGGAGACATCATGACGATCCATAATACTAGTTGAGTAGGGTTAAAGTAATAGAAATAGACCCGTAGGAGCAAAATTAGGTAAAACAAAGTGTACCAGTGAGTCCGGAAGGTCGAAAATAGCAAGGAAAGGTATGCTGGACAGAGATGACGTCAGCAATGATGTCAGCGGCGCACGTTAGCAGAGTGCATGGAGGAGCACGTTAGCAGGAAGGCGACGGTGGACGGTAGCAGACAGGCGCAAGCGCGGCGCACAGTAGCGGGTTTGGCGCACGCGGGTGCACACTAGCAAAGCGGCGCACGGTACGCGTACGGTAGCAGGCGCGGCGTATGGGAGCCGAGGCGCAGACGCAGCGCACGGTAGCGGGTTTGGCGCACGCGGGTGCACACTAGCGAAGTGGCGCACGAGAGGCGTACGGTAGCAGGCGCAGCGTATGGGAGCCGCGGACGTGTGGGCGCGTGTTGGCGCGTGGCGGAAGTGAGCAACAGCAGATGGCGCGTGTGGGCGCGTGTGAGAGTGGAGGCGGAAGTGTTGACGCGTGGCGCACGAGAGGCGTACGGTAGCAGGCGCGGCGTATGGGAGCCGCGGACGTGTGGGCGCGTGTTGGCGCGTGACGGAAGTGAGCAACAGCAGATGGCGCGTGTGGGCGCGTGTGAGAGTGTTCTGAGAACGGGCTTGGTGCCGTTGGAATCAGGAGAAAGTTTTGAGCAGTTTGATGTAATTTCGAGCAGTTTAATGTAGTGCCACGGTATACGGGACTAAACAAAAAATTGCCAGAAATGTAAACCGGGCTCTGATACCATGAAAGATTAGTTTGAGAGAGTGAGAGAAGCTAGAGAGCGAGAGAGAGACTCTGAAATATTTTTGTATATTGCATATTACAAAGAGAATGAACTCTCTCTTTATAGAGAGAAATATGGCACATTGGATACCAAACAAACCCACTACCACCGAAAGTATAAAGACTAATGCTTAAAGAAATAAAGCTAAAGCTAAAGGAATAAAGCTAAAGCTAAAGCTAAAGTTAACAATTAACAAGTATACAATTAACAATTATATACAATTATATACTAACATCAGCAAAATTACTTTTATAAATTGATTTCATTGCATGATATAAAAATTTTACATAGTCTTTTGTCTTGATTGTAACAGGCACACAACCATAAACTACTTCTTGGATGAAAAAATCAATAATGCTGTGATTCTTTTCCCTGGTGTTGGATGCTTCTTGATTGCAGTTTGTCCTGGCTCTGCTGTTCACACATCTAATGCGGCTGATAATAAAGCAAAGCTTAGTATTATTTCAAACGACGACAAAACTCAGTCTGGGTATATTCTTTTCTTAGCTAATTGTAGTTTTTAAGCAAACCATGGTTAGTTTGAGTGATTTATTTATTATGAATTCTTGTTTCATAGTTTTATCTTTTATGTTGGTCAACAACTTAGTTTCACCCTCGTTCAATCCAAGTCAATTAATTTTGTTTGTCTGCAATTTCTTGACTGTGAATATTATAATTTATTCTGCTGATATCCTTGTTGTTGGAGTTCTTGCCTATAACAGCACCCAAAGAATGAAAAGAACTTGAACCTTCTTTGTGTTAGGAATCCATGATACAGGATCAATGAAACATGAAACACAAAAAGGAACAAACGCACAAGAAAGATAATTCATGTGGACATAGAAAAAACACAAAATTTACATAGTTCACCTCAAACTAGGGCTACGTCTACGGCAGTTGCAGCTTTCACTATGCTCATTGTAAGAGATTATAAAGATAACTGCCTCCCCTCTACTATAAATACATAAAAAATTAGGGCAATAGGTCATAAGCACTTTTGAATGGCTAGTGTCTAGTACTTACCACGATCCATGCTACCCCAACACTTTGGTCATCCGAATAAATTATCAAGTTTGTATTTTGAAAAGTATCAACTTTTTTGTGTAGTAGTTATTCTAATAAGGAATTACCCTTCAACTACTTACTCATGAAGAAAAGCTAGTTTTCTTTTTCTTTTTCTTTTTCTTTTTTATTTTTTAAGGAGGGAATAGAGAAGAGGAACCTGGCAATGCATAGCACAGCAGTAAGACTTGTACCAAAATAGCATAACTGATAAGAAAGCTCTTTGTTAGGTTTTGGTAATTGGCAATCCGTTTGACAAAAACACCATTCAATTGTAATTGTTTTCGTTTTTTTGTTCTATGAGGTTATGAGAGTTTAGATGCGAATCCAATATGTGTTGTGCCTGAGTAGAGGAGTTTGTGTTGACGTTTTGTATCTTGACTTGAGCAGTCCTTGTTTGCTTCTTCTCTGACTAAGTATGGGGATTGAGTGCTGGAAAGCATGTTTTACCGCTCAGTAATTTATTCAGTATCTTAGCTTGCATTCTGAACTTTTAGAAAGCATGTTTTACTGCTCAAGCGGTTGGCCTATATGTGAGCACCGCCTTTAGTCACACTGCTTGAGCTGTCTTTGCTTCCCTTTTTCCTATAAAGTGCATCGTTTGCTCGTTTTAGGGTTGATCTCGTCTAGATTCTCAAAGAGGAGTTAAAAAACAAAGTGTTCTATATTAGACAGTGGTTATATATGAGTTTCCTTGATGTATAGAAGGTGATCAATTGATCAACGAACTACATATTGACAAATATCAAGGGTTGTTTTTGTTCTTTCATTCACAAAAGAGAGAGGTGTTAATCGGTGGGTTCCGAGGAACTGGGCCTGAAACTTTGGTGGATTCCAAAGTTGTTGATCATCATGGATTCGACATCGGCATTGTGGATTTAACGTTGGGCAAAGCAATTCCGAGGCGAAAATGGTGGTAGAAGAGGCACATTAGGTTCGGTCCAATTTGGGCGTGGATTCACTAGATAATTGAAGGTTCTCGTGTATAATTCATTTTTGTCTTCTTAGTGGATTATTTTGTGTCTTTGGCCTGTGATTTTTTATCACAATTGGAGGAGTCCAATAGTGATTTTTTCTACGTTAAATTGTTGTGTCGATTTGTTGTTGATTGTTTGATTGGAATAGATATTCATTGTTTAAATTGAATCAGAATCATAATCACAAATCACAATCTCGGGGATTTTTAGATTTTTCACACTTCATACGCTAAACCAATCGTTGATCTTCACTTATTGATTCTTCAAACACAAGCAATAGTTAATTTTGGTAGGTAGTAGTGTACATTTGGGGTGTCATTTCATTTGTTAGGTGGTTTTATTAACAGGTTTTCCACTCAAACGAACTGTATACAAAGAATTTTTAAGTTAGCAACTTTCCTGGATTTGAGCTGTGTGGTCCTTGTGTTTTGTTCCAATAATTTATTAGTCACCTCACCTATTGTATAGCGATCCCAGTTGTCCCTTTACTGTTCTGTTGTATTCCGGACTCAGTTCCGTGAAGTTGGTAGTTGTATCTATCTTGTTGTCGTCCTTCAATTTCGCTTGATTGAGTTTTAGGATGTTTTGGGCAGGGTTGTTACAGTTTGGTTAGGCCTTGGTTTCAATTCCTTGTTGCCCAGTTTTTAGGCGGTCCACTCGAGCGGGTCTTCTTGCGCTCGAGCGGGGATTTCACACCTCCAGTATTTCGTGTTCCTGCAAAA